ATTTCCTTTGCGTTCACAACTTTTGTAAGACACATTATGCTTGGCTATAACTTTCTGTTTGTGAGGAACATTGTTTTCCTGTCACCCTATTTTGAAATTTTACCTATTATGTTTTAATGTTTTTCATATTGGTACAACTTTAAATAAAATAGTTAATTTAGATAAGCAAGAATTGCCACAGAGCGATTCAGCCAAAAGACTTCATTGGTCATTTCAGGATTCAAAAGATAACAGTGAGTTGGTTGAACAATGTATGGATATTGATTACCATTCAAAAAACATTGATTAGGTCTCTATTTTTGTCAACAACTTTGCTAGGTGTTGAACCAATAGAGATGAAAGTTAATCTCTGCCTCAGAAAGTGCGGTGTCAGGAAATTTACCCCACAGGGTCTGAGGCAGGACAGGAAGAGGCACAAGGAACCACAGGAACACAAAAGATGAGCATTTAGTCACACCCAGCTTGGAAGGCTTCCTGGAAGAAGACCTTTAGCTAAGCAAGGTATTTCAATATTTATTAAATAAAATTTAACCAGGGGCATGAACATTCTAAGCAATAGGGCAAGTGTGTGCAAAGACTGCAGGGGTGTGGGGTGCTGGTTTATTCTTTGAGATGGGATTGCTTAGGAAGTGGCAGATGGAATGCATGGACTTGGTATGCCATGCTAATCATTAGAACTTTTACAGAAGGCAATAAGAAGACTGAAGAATTTTAAGAAGGGAGTATCAAGAGTTTAGAGCAAGGAGAAAGGAAGGTCGCAGGCACTGCAAACCAGATCTGAGGCGAAACACTTCAGACTAGTCATTCATTTAACAATTAGTTAAAGCTAGAACTTAAAAGTCTGATAATAGTATGGAAGCTAGATAAGAAATATTTGTTTAACTTTGCCAGCTTTAATCTGTATTTAACTTGGAAGGTTTAATTAGTGTCTTTGAAGACATTACTTGGGTGACAAGTAAAGTAATTCATTATTGAGGTTATTTGTCAAGGTTTCCAACAAAGCACTTGAGGCATTTCACTGTTAGAGATCAATAGTCAAGTTAAAGAATAACTGGTAATAGAAATAACCGTTGGTAGAAATAACTTAGTAGAAACCCAAGTGACATAGTGAAAATGTAAATGTGTTACCAGAAAATAACCTCAATAGAAATCACCAGGGGAAGCCTGTAACCAATTTTATTCATGAGAATTCTTTTGTGAAATTTATTGGGAAAACACATCAAAGAAATTTTGAAAAAGATGTTTAAAATATAACAAAAGCAAGAGTTTTGCATTTTGTTAATTATATCAACATCCTATTATAGAGGCAATAATGTGTAGTGAATTGACCAGGATCTGAAGAAGACAGGCAATTTAGGTAACTTGGGCAAATAACATTGTTAAATTAGTCTGAGCGTGTAAATTGCATTAGTCTAGCTGTAAAGCATGTTAAATATGATATAATTATGCTGCAAGTTGATTGGAAGCAAAGTTTAATTATTTCAAGAGAAGAAATTATTGAAATTGAGACCTAATATAAACTTGTTTTTACTGAATATTAGACTGAGTAACCAAAGATATATACGGTAAATATTAAAGGTTCTTTTTGTTTTAATACTGCTCTACCTCCCAAGAAGGATAAGCAATAATAAATCTTTCAAACAAAAAATGGGGGAGGGGAGCAGGAGCAGTCACTCTAAAACATAAACAAAGTCTTTAAAATTACACACAGTCAAGTTAACACCATTTTCAGGGGTAAGCAGATACCGCTTTCTCCGATGAAGAGTTTACTATTAAGGGTATTTTCAAAAGCAAGACACTTGGAGTAAACAGCGAAACAAAGGAGAACTATTTTATTCAGAGGCCTGTGCACATATGGAACCTGTTAAGGGGATGGTGGCTGTAGAAAGAACTATAAACGAGGGTGAGAGACACCTAGCCTGTCTCAGAAAGGAAGGGATGGAGGCAAGAGTGGTTTCAAAAGCAGACAGTGGGCCAGAGATCAGTCAGATGGGAGGAGGACAGGCTGTTGGGCAGATAGTCTTTTCTGTTCCAAAATGTTCAAAGTTAAGGGACACTCCTTACCACACTTTCATTTCATACAAAGAATGAATTAAGAGGAAACCAAGGGCCAGTCAGAGTTTTTTTCTGGAGTTACTGTGTCATTTCTTTAATAAACTTTGCTTGTCTGTGTAATTCATTTCCTGCCTTGTCAAACCAAGGCCCTCACTTGGGGTGCTCTCCATCACCCTTAGCTTTCAATTAAAAAATGTGAATTAATTAAGAGTAAGGTTCCTGTTTACAATATACAGTTATCAATGGTAGATTATCTTCCTCTGGAAATTCATGGGAAAGATCACTATTTTTCGACTTTGGCTTATTTACCAAGTTTAGGACGGTCTGACTATGAAAATGATCATTTCACAATCCACTGAAAATTAATGGACACAGACAAAAAAAAAATGGTTAAGTTGGCTTGCTTTGGCTACATGGAATAATGGCATCTGATGAGCCAAGCACACTAGACTGGCACCTGACAGGGAAGATAAATTTCCTAAGATATTTTACAGGTCTTACATGCCTGCCAGCTATGTCAATATTCAGTCTCATTAACCAAGTCCACAGAACTTGTAGGACCTTATCATGGACACCAGGAGAAATAAAAATCAAGCAAGAGAAACACTTTTTTGAAGAACTGAACTGCTAATGGAGAAACCAGAATAAACACCTAGTAACATGCAAAAATGGTAAGAATGCAAACATACAAATCCAACCAACGAGAGTGCACATAGTCAGGGACTTGGCCCAATCAGGTGAGCATGTATGTTGCAAATGACAGGCTTTACATACACTCCACCCAGCCAGCTGCAGCTCTTCTAGGCTTAGGGCCAGACATACAGTGAGACTATGCGGTCTGGCTCTGCAGGGCACAAGGAAGTACCAACTTGAATGGCCTCCTGCACCCTTGGCATTCTGGCTTCTGTAACATAGTTGGGAGCTCACAATTACCTGCACTTTTCACTGGGCTACTTATAAAGGGAAGTTTGTGAGAATACCATTGTTGGGTATTCTATAAACCCAGTTTATCCCAAAGAGAAAAATATGCATCCAATAAGAGAAAACACATTAAATACCTATACTATATAATCTGCATTAAGAGAATTATGAAAACAGTTTTAACTATTGTAATACACAGAAAAATGTCATTTTAATTTTTATATTCACTTATAAATGAATAAAAACTAAAGTTTCTCTTCCATAAAAATTAATATATAAGGACTTATGTCATACCAACGGCTAATAATCTAATTGATCAAGATGATTCCCTTAGATCATTGTTTCTCAAAGTGTGGTACACGTACCCCCAGGGGTACGGGAAGAGTTTGGTGAGGGTACGCGTTGCACTGGAGTTTGGTGGGGATATGCACTGCACCGTGCTTAGCTGAGCCTAATTCTACATTCTCATGAGAATGAGGGGTACTCAGCGTTACGAAAATTATAGAAGGGGTACACATGTCAAAAGTTTGGGAAACACTGCCTTAGGTACAACAAAAAGAAAACATACAGATGCAAAAACTGCAGATATACCATTGAGCAAGGACAATTAGAAGAAGACAAGACTAATTGACCCAAGAAGTGTGGTTCATCTATCTTACTGGGAATACGTTTTATGAACAATCTACTTTCCCTATTATTTCTGAATCCTGCCAAAGAACCTACTTATGAACTTGAATGACAAACAGTGCTGATTAAACATAAGGAGTCATGACAAACAAGGGCAAGCTTTATTGCAGGACTGCTAAAGGTCTGTGGCTTTGGAGACAGGTCTGAGTTCAAATCCTGGTTTCACCGCTTACTAGCAATGTGACTGTGGGCAAATATCTCAGCCTCCTGACTTTCCCTGTCTTTTCCTGTCAAACACCCAATGTCTCCCTTAGAGTTTATTGTGAGGCAAAAACAAATGCAAAGTGCTTCATACAGAGATTGACACAGATGAACTAAGGAGTGTATCTACAAGGGCACCAAGAAGCTTTCCTGAACAGAGTACAACTTCCAAAAACAGAGATTGCTCTGGCATTTGTTCTGAGATGAACTTCACATTTTGCCAAGCTCTTTAGACAAATGACAGGTAATGAATGAGCTACAAGCAGCTGAGTGATTCACACCCAAGAAAGAGCTTAACAACTATTCTCAATTTTTCTCCTTATTTATCTAAATTAGAACTAAATTTACATTTACTGTCTATCCCTGCGGGTCCCAACTTTGTCTGCACTTTAGAATCGGAGGTGCTGCCGTAATGACTTTGGGCTGAGGCCTCAGCACTGGCTGTTTAATTGCACTCTCCTGATGATTCTAACAGCCGGGGCCCAGAACCAATAGTATAGCTAACCACGCTGGAACTATTTCTAAAAAGCAGCTTTTCCAATCCTAACTTAAGAACTTATTCCAGCCTACTCAAGACTGTGGCCAGTATAACCAAATCACTCCTTTCTTTATGATGTAGAGAAAGCTAAAAAGCATATAATTAGTCAGCAGCGTTTGAATGGAAGGAAATTCATAAAATCATCATTCAAAAAAAAATTTTTTTTTAAGATGAAAAAAAATAGGGCATTTTGCTTGGATAAAAATTAGTCATGCCTTTTAGCAGATTTACAGTGCAATTATTTAATAGAGAAAGGTATCTTTTAAAGGCATTTTATTTTATAGTTATTCTTCCCCTTTTTATGGTGAAGCTATGCAAAGCCAACATAACTATCTGAAAGACAGATGTGAGGCAATTCTGATTATGTGGCTTCTCAGCTCAATGGAAAGGTGATCTAGTCCTCTTATCAAGAGGGCCACAGTGATTGGAGGACTGGTGGTTGGATCGGTTCTCATGGAACTCTACTCTAACTTCCCTCTGTTTCACTGAGTGACCCTGAGTAAGTCTCTGAACTGGTCTTCAGTTTAAGGTGCCCTCCACACAATGCAATCAGCACACAGTACCACATTCTTAGGAATCATCTTCATCAGCAGCTTACCAGTGTGCTGCCATCAGTCCAACGGAAGTCATGCTCAAACATCTTGTCATTGAGGCCTATCCACTGGTAGTCATGGCCCACACCTGAAAGATGGTAAATAACACGGGGGATATCTTATTACCTTCCCAATATATGGGTGAGACACATAAAAATATTTTCAGAATGAATCATGCATCCTCTTTTCAGGCTGTATTTTTGTTTAGTTATTCATACAAAATTTCCCTAGTCTATCTTTTGTCCTTCTGCCCAATGTGCTTTAAACTAAAAAAGCTACAAACATTGTGAAACATTAAAATAACAGACATAGACATTATTTTTCTAGCAGTTTATATTTATTCCAATGGTTTTCTTCATCCTTACTCATGATAGAAACTTTTGATTTATTTTTTTATTAAGTTATGCCATTGGTGCCCAGTGGTTGAGCATTGGTCTATGAACCAGGAGGTCACCATTTGATTCCTGGTCAGGGTGCATGTGTGGGTTTTGGGCTTGATCCCCATTAGGGGGTGTGCAGGAGGCAGACAATTGATGATGTTTCTCTCTCATCATTGATATTTCTATCTTTCTATCCCTCTCCCTTCCTCTCTGAAATTAATATATATATATGTTACACCATTGGCAAAAATTCAGTGACCCAATAAAACATGACAGATCTTACCCATGCTAGCCTCACTTTGAAAGCCACACATATTTCTTCTCAAAGCAGTTTAGACAGTGAATATCTAGATCAGACAGTCCTGCAAAATTTCCTCAAAATTAATGGCTTTCACCATATAATGAGTCACTGGCAAGAATACTATGCAAAAAAGTTAGGTGAACCTCTATTCAGATTGTAAATTAGCAATCATATTTCTAAAAGATAGGAGGCATCATGAGAACACATTTAACTGAGCATCAAATAATGTCTCATGAGCAAAAAAAAAAAAAGCTACATATTTGTTACATGAAAGCTAGCTGCCCTCATCTTTGCTATAGTTTAAAGAGTAAGTAAACAGCTTAGGTAGTAAGTTTTATTAGCATTGTCTTATCTATTCATGCTCTTAATATGAAGTTGACTTGCTATGGTCTAAAATAATAGAATCTTGGATGAGAACTAATTATGCACAGGGGATAAAAATCAGGTTCTACTAGCAATTCAGTTTGAATTACTGGGACAAAAATAACTGAAAGCAATTTTCTCTTTAACTTTAGACAACATATGCATGTGTTCTAAATAGAGTCTATGAATGTAACCATCAGAATTAGATTGAACCACAGATGCAGCCATTTTTGTAAGTAAAAAACTGATCAAATAGCATACTATTTCACCTCTTATTGCAGGCCAACCAAGAAGTGCCTTCCTATGTTATAGTTGAATATTCCCCCAAATGGGGGACTCATCCCAGATATACGATTTTAAGTAATTCATAGATGAAGGATTTAATAAGTGGAATCACAACTGAGAAAGCTACTTATTCTCGGGAGAGAAAGCTAAGAAGGTGGTGAGAATGAATGAAGCTTCAGGAAACCAGTGTATGCTTGGTACATACGATTCACAAACATTTGTTCTTCGTGAGACAGAATGCTGGTGAGGTGGGCGCCTTGAAGACGGCATTCCCGTTCGGCTGCATCCCATGTGCGTCGATGCGCGAAGTACTTGTAACACTGCCCTTGAAATTTGTGCCAACCGTAGTCACATGTCTCAGTGTCTGGGGAGAAATAAGTAAGAGACTTCTTAAACACATCTACATCATCTAAAATTGGCTACTGATCCAAGGCAATATCAATGCAATATCCCTGCAGTAATGGATCCATCAAATCTGGCATGATGACAAAAACATTATGATAAAGAGGACAAATGATTCCTGCCAAGTGGATGGTTGTACTGCAGGTCCTCGAATAAGATCTTGTTCTGTTTGACTTCATCTTGTTATAACATAGATGGGATGCTGTAGGAACTTAACTGTTGATCATAACAGTCAACCTCTGGTTAGACACAGGCCTGACACACTAATCTGAAATAAAGACATCATTACACTGGAAGTCTCAGAACTTATGGAGGACGTTAAGTGAGAACTTACTGTGCATCTTTGGACTGAAAAGCCAGCATCTAACTGCAGTGTCCTCTCTTAGAGCCAGCGTTAGCAGGAGAGAAGGCTGGATGAGAGGCCAGCCAAACCTCTCAGGCTGCAGTGTCTACTGACTACCTGGTGAAGCAGTTGGGGCTAATTCCTTACCAATGCACCTTTTCTAAAGAGCATCATTTAGTGAAAAGAATTTGGCTAATAGGATTCTGGATGCTTGCAGGAGGACTTCAAATGTCTGGAAGTAGGAGCAGTCCTTTCCCACTTCCCAGAGAGATTTACAAAGAGAAAGGAATTCTCCATCAGTAGGCAGCTTCTGGGATACAGCTAAGGCTGTGTGCTTTCTTCCCAAAAGGACAGAAATATAGGTAACTGCAAGTGCAAATGTATCTGGATTTAACTTTATTACAAATTATAAAACTTGAGTTCTTTGACTTCATTCCCAGTATCCCTCTAAGCTATATATATATTGGTAAGATGAAAATATTTTTCCAATATATCTAGGTTATACACTGGCAGTGAGAGTCAGCTATTCTTTCTAGATTGCCAGTTTTGATGTGTTTTCATAGGAAAGCAGCCTTATTCATAGCACTGCATTTTCAGTGGTAATCTTCCTTCAGACTCACCCACTGGCAAATGAGGTCAAATTCTGTATTTAATCATAATTAATTGAAATAATTTTTTTTTTTTATTTCTACAAAGCAATTTTCACAAATATATTTAGTTACATGCAAAAACTAGCAAAACTGTCAAGGTGGTAGCATTTTAAGCACCAAGAAACCTTTCTAGATCACCTAATGACTACCCATTCCTCCCCTCACTTTCCTGATCTAGGAAGAAAACAAATGAAATCAATGAAATCAATGCTTGTTTTATCTACCAGACTTGGTGGCCAAATTGAAAGTCAGATTGCCTCTGGGCTGTCACTCCATTTACTCCACTTTCCACAATTGTGGGAAAGCCTGTGGCCTGAGAGATTACATTTACTTTTCCCTGGCTTCAGTGACTTAGGCCATAATCACACAACAGATGCAACTGATCTCTGAGAACAGTCTTTAGTTCAGTTTAGTCTAACCAGCCTGTTGTTTAGTTACAGCCAGCTGACTAATTGATTTAAATCATGTGCACTGGAAGCCTTGGGTCTTATTAAAGTGCTGTACGGAGACCACCAAATCTCATGGGAAAGGACACAGGACACAGCGAGCTCACTTGGAAGGAAAGTAGCAACCAGTACCCATGAATGAAGCATATTTTGTCACTTGGATGCAGCAATTTTCTTTTTGGGGAATTCTCGTGGAAGCACTCAGAGCTATGAGAGGTGGGGAAGAAACCGATCTTCATATATGAAGGGTTAGTTTACATGGGAGGAGAACTGGAGAAGTTTTTAGAACATTCTTTCTGCCAAAGGCAATAACGTGATATTATAATAGCACAGTGTTCCTTACCCTTGGAAATCATCATTTATTTTAAGAGACACAGCTTAAAATCCTGGAGGATCCCTAACTTATTTATTTTCTGTGAATAATGCATCACAAAAAAATTCTTCTATAAGCTCTTTCTTATCTTCTATTAACCCAAGTGATTTTCGTCTGTTTTATCTTTTATCATTAAAATATATTACCACTATATTTCTTTTAACCCCCCCCCAAAAAAAAAACCATACATGATCATACTCTTCTAAAAGCAGGTATCAAAAGCAATCTGTCTATCCCATCTTACCTGAAAATAATGTAACACAGATTTCATTTCTTAAAAGACATCTCTTTTGGGTATATAGTCTTAAATTCATCTGATTTTAATACTTCTTGTTTTAAAACTCCTATAATGCATAGGTTGTATCACAAAGTGTCAGATTTTTGTTGTGCCTGTGCATGTTTGGATTGGGTTGGGGGAGGGTATGACAATTCCTGCTCATGGTCACGGAACATGAAATTATTATTCAAACAATCTCACACACAAAAAATCGATTTGGCTTATGATACGCAGGCAACGTTTTCAACAGCTCTGACATGTATCTGTAAAGTCTTAAGAAGTTGTCAACACTTGGGCACTTCTCCCTGGCAAGCTGTCCTTGATGTTAGCGGAAAGCGGGGGGGGGGGGGGGGGGGGTTACCAATGTGCACAGAACTGTCTCTCCTCGGTTCTAAGACCCCCTAGACTCCCTTCCAGGGCTCAGATCTATTATCATTCCACCAAGTTGCAGCCCCGATTCCAGAGTTACTGGGAGTTGGGATGTTACTAATGAGAGAACAGAAAAGGTCAGCTGAAGAAACAACAACACAGTCATCACTGAGTTTGGACAGAAAACTGTTTAGACAACAATGCTGCTGTGAATGAAGAAAACATTTGCTCTTAGGCAACCTGAAAAGAGCAGAAAAACTCCTTCAGAGTCCTGCCAATAAATCACAGGAGCACAGCTGCATTTGGTAAACAGACCAGGATGAATGTTGCTCATCGTGTGGATGGAAGTTTAACTCACTGTAAGAAAGTAGGGAATGCACCTGAAAGTTAGGTGGCACCGGAAAGGAGAGAAAACCCAAAACCATTTCTTTCTGATACTCCTTTAAAGAGATGGGAAAGGTAACTGGCCCCAAAGTCCCTCTCAAGGATGCATTACCACATCACGTACAGACTTAAATAAAATGCTTACCTGTGAGAGTTACTTTAGATGGGATAAGAGATTGAGAAAAACCTAGGCTTTCAAAGGCAACTTAGGTTCATGTTCCCCACTCAAATTTACTAGCTGTGTGATCTTGAACACACATATATTTATTTCTCTCTAAGCCTCAATTTCTAACCCATTTACTCATAGAAATACTGTGTGAACTAAATGAAATGATGTATCTGGAAGCATTTGATAAACTATAAAGTATCCCACAAGTAGTATATCCTTTTATTCTCTGACAAGAATTATGCCGAGTCGCCAAGGTCAAGGCTGTGATCATGGTGTTCAGAGCTCTATCTCCAGTGCCCAGGACAGTGCCTTGAAAACAGTGGGTGTGCCATAAACCCGGCTGAACAAATGATTTTTTTAATTGCTCCGTGTATTTGGAATAAATGGAGCAAGAATCATGTAAACAAATTTTAATAACTCAAGTATATTACCCTTGTTTTCTTTAACAAATAGCATTTTCCTCACTGTTTTCATCTAAGAAGGGAAACAGTGAGAAATTGCTTGGTCAATTTTCATATTTACCTTTTAAAATTCTAAAATAAATAGATTCCTCCTTTGCAATGAAGAGAAAAGGGAAAAAATCTAAAAACTCAGCCATCAGATATCCCCTTCCATTAGCAGTTTAATACAGGCTCCTTTTAGTTTTGTTTTTTTAATTGTGGTGATGTCTGTATTAACACTGAGAAGTAAAATGTAGGGCTATCCCAATGTATCTGAGTGTTTAACACATTTTCATTTTGTCTGGTGGAATGGACGTTTGGCACTACGCACTTTTGTCAAAGCCAAATCACTGTATGACTTTAAGTAGAGGGAACTTGCATTCCATAGCTTAGTGTGCTGAGCATGTGATCTGTTTCTGATGCACAGACTAAAAAATGTTACCTTTAACCACCCAACACGTACTCTCAGGTGGGCCATAAAACGCAAATTACAGGGATCGGGAGATTTAAGCCATCATGAACAGAGGCCTTTCTTTCATTCAGAAAAAGTAAATGCTTCTTCAGTAGGAAAATTCCCTGTTGAGCAGATTCACAATATCTTTTTCGTAGTGTTTGCCAAGTCCAAGTCAATGTGCTCTAACAACTATATAAACTCATTCTCCGGAGATGATTGACTATGAAAAATAAGGCCCTGGAGTCTCAAGTGCGTAAGGGGAGAAAATAAAGGCAACTAACATTGAATGCAATACTACTTGGAACAAACCATAAACATGGATTAAGGTCTATTCCTAATTTGTCCTTTGGAATAATACATATAGCAATGTTCCTTTTGTTGGCTGGATGGTTTTAAATTTGCTCAGCGTGCCTGTCTGCAATTGTATGATATCAGTGAAATAAAAATGATCAAGTCAACTCTATTGTTCAGGTGTTGTGAACTATGGACACATAAGAAAACCCAGCGTAGTTAGGAAACCTGTGAATTTTCTCTGCAGGAAAGAATACGTAGTATGGCCAAATGACTAAAAATATCCAAGTCATTATGACAAAAGACTTTCTAGAAGTGACATTAGAAGTGAAATCAATAAAGTTCATCCTACAAATGTTGCAATAGCTCTTACCTTGCTCACAAAGTGCACCAACATAGCTGGGAAGGCAGAGGCACCTGAATGTATTAAAGCCGTCAACACACGTGGCTCCATTGCGACAGGGGTTAGAGTGACATTCATCAAAGTCTGAAATAAAATCATAAAAGGCCACAAAAAAACTTTCAAAAAACAATCCAAGGATTCTAATTACTGTGAGGCTGCTAAGTAAAATACGAGATAGCCAGTTAAGTTTGAATTTCAGATTTAAAAGGAAAAGGTTTTTAGTATAAGTATGCCCCATTTTATATTTAGGACATACTTAGAGTGAAAAATTTTCTTTTTTTAATCTAAGATTAAAATGTAACTAACCTTCTTATATTTTTATTTGCTAAATATCTGGGAACTCTAAGAAAATTTCACCAATTTAGAGGAGGATCACTGTGTCCGTTTCTTTTAGATGAGTCACATGAGTCCTAAAATGGATCAAGTTTTAATCTAGCCTACCCACTCCCTATCCTGGTTCATGCTCCAATTTCCTCACTCCTGAAATACTGAAAATACCTGGCAGGCCTCCTACATCCTGGGCCCTTCCCTCTCCAATATATCCCTCACTCTGAGATGATCGCCTTCTTTGGACACAGTCATAATTTTACTCCTTGGCTTTCAAACATCCCATAGATCCCAGCTGCCCAGGACAGGTGTCCTCAGAGTGTGGTCCTGGGACCAGCTACAGCAGCATCACCTGAGGATGGTAGAAATTCACACCCCCAGGCTCACCCCAAATCCACTGAATCAGATAATAACAGTCTGTATTTACCCAGCCCTCCAGGAGACTCTGATGCACACTAAAGTCTCGGAATCACACAACCAAAGTATGAGGTACAACTACTGAGCTATTATTTTAAGACAAGCACTCTTTCAATACGAATGTTGGAGATTTTATCCCAATATTTCTGTGAGCCTTCTTTACTCAATCATTAAGAGAAAAGCATCCTGTTACCTCCAAAAGAAGCACCTGACTGATATAATATTCCATCATTTCTTTAATCAGACATCTGGTCTACAATTAGCCAAATTTAAAAGCCATCAACACACGTGGCCATCAGAGACAGTCTTGCCCTAGCTGGTTTGGCTCAGGGGCTAGAACATCGGCCTGGGGACTGAAGGATCCCAGTTTCAATTCCAGTCGAGGGCACATGCTGGGGTTACCAGCTCAGTTCCCATTGGGGGGCCTGCAGGAGGCAGCCGATCAATGATTCTTTCTCATCATTGATGCTTCTATCTCTCTCTCTCTCTCTCTCTCTCCCCCCCTTCCTCTCTGAAATCAATAAAAATATATATATATATACATATTTTTTTTAATGGAGTCTTTAAAAAAAAAAAAAGGAAATCTAAATAAGAATGAGAACAAAAGGAACTGATTTGGTAAGAACACAGTTATATTCTTTGGAACTAGAAAGAGAGGAGGAGGCCTGCAATCCATACCTCCTGGAGGTGAAGGCAGGGGAGGCTGGCTGCTGGGGACAGCCAGGAAAGGCTTTCTCCATTTCACAGCAGAGGAGCAAGTCATCTCAAAATGTTACAGCCAAACTCCCTCATTTCAGCTTTGGAAAAATTTGCTGTATTTACATTGATTATTTATTGATATTCAGATTTGGGGGATAAAGTAAAAAAAGTTGTTAATATTTATGCAACTTTACATTTGTAGGAAGCCTATCTGTAAAATTCACAGAAAGACATAGCTGACCTGAGTAAGCTTCACTGAGTCTTGGGTATATTAACAAAATTCAGTCACCATTTGGTCCCATTTCCCAGAATCTGCTTATTAAATCTCTATGACTTTAACTTCATTGAACATATAATTCATCTACACATGGATTTCTCTGAAATCCTCTGATTGATTCAAGCAATATAAATACCCCCCAATATATATTTGTAAAAGCACTACACCCTTTCAGGCAAGGACATCTTACCAAGTTCACACTGGTCCCCAGTGAATCCCGGCACACAGGTACACACATAGGAAGTTTCAGTAGCATAGCAGGTGCCTCCATTGAGGCACGGGTTTGTTTTGCAATGATCAAGTCCTATTGTGTTCAGGAAAATAAGAAACATAATTAGGCCCATCTCTGACTCTCAAATGTATTTTAGCATAAAATGCCACTTATTGCTACCCTGACATATAAGCTTTACTGTAGCAATTTAGAGATACTACACACAAAACTTAATATTAACTTTACTCTCTGGAGTGTTTCTTGGCATAACTAATTATTACAAATTGGATCTAGTCATTTCTAGGATTCAATCATCATTCTTTTTCAACAATATTTTTTTGCACAGTACCTGGCAACTAAGATAGTCTACTGCAGATTTAGTTGGCATGATAATGGCAATTGATTTTAGTAAAAAATGATTACATGTATGTGCACAGTGAATGGAAATGTATTCTTTTACACAAGGTTAGTTCATGTGAAATGGCTGGATAACACAGAACATGCATTCTTTTTAGCAGATTGGCTTGTTACCATCATTTGAATTATTATTGCCTTTTACCACTTAATGCTCAGAAACTTTTTCTTCGAAAGTGTGCACTGAAGTCTCTTCTGCTACATTAATATGCTTTTTCCAAAAACACGTTCCAAATGTACTCCTTTAGACTATACTTAAAGAAAAGCAACACATGGATTAAACTCTACTGTATAAAAACAACCCCAAACACAAAAACCTCATCTAACACGAAACCCCCAATTTTTATTAAAATTTTTCTCATTAAAACAGAAATAAAGTCAGCACTCCTAGCTGATAAATATAAAGACCAGAGCCACAAATTTATGAGGAAAAACAGTTTTAAAAAATGTTTTTATACGGCAAATTCGAATACTTTTACACTTTTTGAAGCACATATATTATTCTGTAACAATTCTTGAATAATTGTCTTTATATTAATAGCTTATATTTATTAGAGTTTGAGTATTTTTCTAGAGTTGCCTGTTCCAAAATGTTCAAGAATCCAAATAACGGTTTAAAGTTTTACAAAGTAATTGTGATAAATAGGTTACATATGAGCTACAAGTTATGTTCAAGAATCTTAAGACCCATAACCCTGAAATCATTTCACATGAAAAGAAGACCGTCTACTTATGAAACATGAACTTCAGGAACATTAGGACAAAGAAGGTACTGCTAGTAGTATAAGATAACTGAGTCTCTTTCATATAGGAAACTCAAACAAACTGAGTGTTAAGTAAATTCTAGACTGCTAGAAAGATTTGACAAATTCATATTTGCATGTGTGGGTTCAACTTTAGGTTAATTCAGATGCTTATACCAACTTCAAAAACTACCCCAATTCTTCTAAGATTCTTTCTCATGCAGTCCTAAAAATATTTAAAAGCTCCCTAGCCATTTTAGCCTTCTGTCTTTCAAAGTACTCTGCATAGATGACGAGGCTATGGTCAACAGCACATCTACACACTGCCCTCAATGCAAAATCAACATGACACTTGGGAGAAGGTGCTTGGTGAAACTGTCATGTGCCATATAAACGTGATGCACTATTATTATGTCCTCCCCAGACACCAGATACCACGCTGAGAGTATGAGACAAGGGCTTGGCAAGAAAGTGGGTCTTTCTGTAAACACAAAGTAGCTTAAATTAGAAAAAAAACACCTATGTTTATGATTTTTATTCTTCTGTACACAGTTCGAATTAATCTCTGAAAGTTATATCTGCAACAGATAGAACAGGCAATACAATACGATCATCCAGTTACTGAATTAACCTAATGTGATGATCTGTTTTACAATGAAGACGCAACATTAATTCTAGTTAAACACTGTGGACTGGATAAGTGGTACATATTTCTTAACCATTTGTCAAACTTAATTCTCTCTCAACATTACCAATGACTCCTATAACATATTTTCACAAACCTGAAGTATATTGAAACTAAATTACAAAAGGATAAATGTTGGCCAGATTACTTGCTGATCATTTACTGGTTAAATATAGAATGACAACAAATGCATCGGACACCTTTGATCAATTTTATTCATAAAACAGTTCAAGTCGTTTATAAAAAGTTGCATGCTATGACTATTTTACTCTATCTGAAGCACAACAAACTGAATTGGCACAAAAGATAATACTGCAATGTTCAGAAGAAGAATTCTAAGTGTAGCCAAGCTGTAAAGCATATTCATTAAAATAAAATTTATTTTGAACCAACATAGCCTTTGAAGTGCTGATTTTTTTGTTGTTGTTGTTTGTAGTGGCTAGGTGGTGATGGTTACTTTTGGATTCCACTGAAAATGTTATTTAAATGATGCTCCAGAAAACACCATTGCAGCAGACTTCTCAACATTATTAGGCTAGAGTAAAATGAAAATAAGTTCTACAAAATGAACAATCTAAGATTTCTGGTTTACATATCATTAACTAACAATTATCCACTTTTGTGCTATAATAATAGGAAAGCAGCTAAGAGCAATGGAAAGACCGTGGACTTTGAATGGGGCTGATGTTGGTTTAAATCCCACTTTCCCATGTTTGTGGCTGTGCAACCCTCGGCAAATTAAACAACTCTTAAAATGAGGGAGATCTGTACATGCTGTATAGCCTTTTCATGAAGATCATACGAGACAGTCTATATGACCTAGTATAAAATTCATGCCTTCTGTTCATTCATTAAAAAAAAACAAACCACAAAACAGAAATCCTCTCTTGACTGACGGAGCTCGAATAAACACTAAATAAATACCCACTGAGTTAGAAGCATTATGTGGACTATCTGAGGAAAGAAAATTGAATAAAAGTATAAATGGATAACTGATATTGCATGAACTATGTGAAATGTTTATTAGCGCTATTTACTACTGTCAAATTTTAAAGGCCTGACAAATTTTGATATTATCATAATAGCACTTTTAATTAATAGATTTTTAAGAATATATTTTGTTTCTGTGTTTAAAACTAAGATGTGTGACTATGGTACATATGACAAAACAATACTTGTGAGTAGAACGACAATGAATTTTTACACCACCAATATGACATTTTTCCATGGTGCAATTATACATTGTTTCTAAAACCCAGGAAAATAAAAGGAACATCTATAAAGCTCGAAAATGATCTATTCTTGCTTCCTTTGCCCCTCATTATGGACTCAAAACTGTGTGCTGATCTACTGTTATGTGAACAATACAGAAATCTCCACTGATTTAACATCACAATAAAAATTATATAGATATACATATTTTAGGACCAAGGGACTCTTTCCACATTTGGAAACAGATTTATCAATGTCGTGACCTTACCTGGTAAATAGACTGCTGTGCCTTCCACTGACTCTTCATTCATGTCAATCAGGAAGCCGGTTTCATTAGAAGCTTCCAGAAGGTAAAGTGGTGGTGTTGGAAGTGAAATCTTTAACTCTGCAGTGCGCACTGTTGTTGCTTGAGAGTTGGAATCAAGAATTCTTGTTGACGCTTGCTGTCCCCATGCTGTCACTGTGGAATCCTGCCCTCTAGTCAAAGCTGCCTGCGTTTCAGAGTTTATTTCCAGAGAAGGAACCGTGGGCTTCTCAGAAGTCTGTGGGCTGGTCTGAGGCACCACACCTGCCCCAGTCCCAGTGGTTGCAGAAGCTGAAGTAGGGTGTGGCCCCAGTGTAGCACCTTCTGACTTAATTTCACCTGCAGCTGTGACAATGGTTTCAGCCTCAGGGGTTCTCACACTAGAAAATACTTCGGTTGTTTCTCCAGAAAGTTGAACATTGGTTTTGTTTGGGGAATCCTGGAGAATCTCAGATCCTTGTTCAACAATTAGTTCTGTGGGAAAAGCTTCCATTTGTTCTAAAAAGTTGGGTTTCGTTTCATCTTCTGAAGATTCTGGCTCTGTAGCAACAGGTGAGAATGGAGGCCCAGTTATGTGACTGTACACTTCACTTGATGGTTGGAAAGTCACCTCAATATTTGCCAGTTTTCCTGGGGACATTTGAGATGTGCCAGGATCTACACTGGGCAGAGCACTTGACTGGGGGCTCTCTGTGTGTTCAGACGCTCCACTGCCTAAGGGCACAGTGAACGGAGATGATGTCTCAGGGGACAGCTTCACAAAGGCCAACACTGCTGATGTTGTATCTGTGTAATCTGGGGGATTTGATCCTTCCACCACATGAGATGCTTCTGTTAAACTCTGAGACGTGAGGTGGACAGTACCAATACTTACATGGGGTGTAGAATCTATTAGTGCTTCCCCAGCTCCTGAAGACAATTCTGGCTGAAAAGAAGGACCAACATATTTCTTCTCTTCATACTCTTCCTGTGTCCTTTCCAAATGACCTGATGTTGATATTACTTCACTTTGGTCAGCAATAGCTTGACCATCAGACAAAGTGCTTGATTCAAATATGTCTTCCAGGGCTTTAACTTCAGTGTTTAGTTCTTCGATATTTGGGCCAACTGTGGCAGACTTACTAGGAATGGGCAGGGATGTTGCTGTGGGAAGAAAAATATCTAATTCTGTTTCTGTGCTTGGGATGGGGATCCCAGTTGTGAAGATAAAGCCCATGTGATTGAACTGGCTTCTGTCTTCAGAAGTCATGGATTCGTTATGTGCCACCTGTGTGTAGCTAGCCAGAAGAGCATCACCAGAACTTTCAAATGGTTCCACAGTTAAGGATAGGTTGGCAGCTGCTTCGTGCTTCTGTTGAGTTTGAGCACTGTCTTCGTTATTGACCTGTAGTCCTGACGGTGTCTCTGGGTCTATGTCCGTTTGCATTCCAAGGATGTCTTCATACATGGGTTTAGTGTGATCAATATCTATGATAGTATTTTTATCTGACGTGAGCTCAGGTAGAATTTCAAGTATGGTACTCTCTGTAATTGTCAATAACAAATCCTTGTCCTCTTTGTCCAGATCTATAATAATATTTTCAGTGGCTTTTTTTCTGTCAGGTTTTAAGGTGGAATCCTCAAATCCCCCCAAGTGGTGATGGAAACTATCTGCACTCTCAGTGGACCTCTTATATGACACTGTGTTGGACACTATGATAGTTGGATCTGGGGAGCTTTCATTCTGCTCTAGATGAAGAGGTGGCACCATTGAGCCTGTTGGAAACCCATCAACAGTAATGGTTTTAGCACTTGGATCCTCAGGATGTTTCTCCAGGGGCCTATTAGGAACAAATGTGGTGCTTCCTTTTCTGGTTGCCTGAGTGGTTCCAGAAGTGTGGACTAAGTCAACTATATCCAGTTCCCCAGATCCTTCTCCGGAATATTCATGGAACAAGTCAGATGGTTTTGTTGTGGGTGTAACAGATCCTCTGGCCATTCCAATACCAGAAGTTCTAGCCAGAAAGTCAGTAGAAGAGGTTGCTGTTTCTCTAGTTTCTGCTACTGAAGAATTCTTGTTAGAGATTTGCTCAGTGGTAGGTTGTGGTTGACTAGTCTGAATTTCTTCTTCCCAACTCTGAGTCTGATTTTGAGGCTGTTCAGTGTCTGCAGAGAAGGTGAGAGTTGCTAAAGACGGTCCTTCCGTTCTGGTGTCCCTTAAAATTTCTAGTAATGTTGTGCTGGATGCTGTCTCACTATATTCAGAGATGTGGTCTGTTTTAGAAATGAGTAGTCCAATTTCACTTGCCACATTTTCCATTCCCTCATAGTCTTCAGTGGGATCACTTGAGATGCTAGTTTCTAAGCTGTCCACTTGAGAAGCCTTGGGATATAATGTGCTAATGATTTGTTCCATTTCAGTAAAATTCATTGACACTGTGGTAGGCAAAACTTCTTCTCCTGATCCCAGGCCAGAGAATAAATTAGTATCTGACTCTTTAATTACTGGCTTCATAACTTTGGGGAAGGGTTTTATATTTTCTTTCTCTTTGATTAATGAATCTGTAACTATACTTCCATCTAGTATAGATTCAGTCACTGAGGTAGTAGCCAAGAAAAAATGGGATTTTTCAGTAACTTCAGGGAGAGTAGTGTAGGGTTCCACATCCTTTACTCCTGGATCTCGAGTAGACATGTCAACTACGGAAATGCCTTCCTTTTCCATTTCCTCATCAGCATCATAAGTTTTCTTTGTTGTTAGTATAGAGTAATCTGTGGTTGGAAACCCAGTTTCATAAAAAATGGTTTGCTCTGGTGCAACAGAGCTTTGGGGGGATTCAAAATATTTTTGTTCTTGAATCTTTTCCTCTGATGTTGTTTTGATTTCAATTTCTTGTCCTATAGTAGTAACTCCTTGCCTGGACCACAGTTTGGTTGGCTCTATCATCTGGGAAAAGTCCACTGAAACTGTGCCATCAACCTTCACATCCCCCTTTTCTGTTAGAGCTTCAGTGCCTTCAGCTTCTGCTGTTGGTAAACTGGTGGCTCTCTTATCAGCTTCTTGGGTAGTACCTTCTTCTCCCAAAACTTGGTCAACAAATGGAGATTCTGTACCAAAAACATTTCCCACAGCACTGGGAAACACTTGGTCAGCAGAGCTGCTGGCTGAGACCACTTGCTCACCTGAGCCCTCACCTGAGGCTGTGAACTCTTCCCAAGGGAAGGCTGAAGTGCTGACAAAGCTGCCACCAGGTCCTTCTGGGTCAGCTGTGTGATTGATGTGGCCTGAAGTAGGGATTAACGATGGTGAAACCTGGGTATCTTTAAATACTGCATCCCCTGAGCCTTCCATCATTACTGTTTCTTCTTTTGTTACAATTTTAGAAACCGTCGAGTATTCTCTGAAATCACCACTGAAGTCTTCCTCCAATGGAAAATCTGTAGAGAAGCCCTTTATTTCTGTCCCATGATTTGATTCTACTGAAACCTCTGACATAAGGCTTTCCTTGGATGTTTGGCTTATAACTTCAATAACCTCTCTGTCCGTTACATTACTCAAATCTAGTCCTGGTGGCTCAAAAGGTAATACAGTTTCCACAAGGGGAGACATAGTACTAGCTATTTCCTTTTTAACTTGAATTTCAGGCTCTACTTTTAATGAAAATGAAGGAACGGTAGTTGCTGGGTCAGTGGCAGCTTCTCTTGAGCCCTGCTCCATAGAGAGAGAGCCGGGGCTACCTGACACAGTGGCCTGTCCTTCCTGAACCCCAGGTTGACTGCTACTGCTGGTCTTGGTGGTCTGTGTCCCCAGATTGTCTAAAACATCCGTTTCTGGAAAGAAAGAATTAGAACTTGTCATTTCTCTTTCAGACTGTGTGGATGTTGTTAAGTACATGACACTGTTCCTGGTAGCAGATGCTGAATCACTAGATGTAGCTTCATTTGTGTTTTCTAATGCAGAGGATAAAACTAACTGGTCTGATCTCTGTGTAGGCATATGTAGCTGAACTGTAGAAGCTGTAGTTCCCTCCTCCTCACCTTTCCTTTGCTTTCCCTCAAGAGATGTACTAAAAGCCCACTCAATCGTGTCTGTTTCCTGTACCAATTTTGTGGGCACTACTTCTGTAGAAGGTTGTTCAGAAACCAAGTAAATGGCAGTTGCAGGGACACCAAAAAAGTTGTCTGTGGTCATTGTTTTGCCAGTGTCTAAAGTAACCAGTGTACTGGTAGTATTTCTTTGTGATGAATGGGTTACCACGGTGAACATTTTATCTTTATCTTCTTCTTCCCCAGAGCCTTCTGGAATCAGAATTGAAGGATTCCCAGAGAGCTCTACAATTTTTCCAGGGGTTGTTTCTACCCAGTTTTCCATAGTGGCCAATGGGTCAACAGGCCTGTGGTTTCCTGTTAACGTGACTGATACTTCCTCCAACACATTTGCTGACATAGAACTTGGAACTGTACTTGGAATATAGGTGGTAGAAGTACTTTTTTCTGCCTCTTCACCAAGTGTTACTTCCATGGTCCTTGAAAAGATCATTTCTGAGGATTCTTGGCTGACCTCAGCATCTCCTGAAGACTCTTCAGAAGAGAGGGATCCAGGTTCAGTATGTTCAAGCACCAGACTATAATGCTCAGGCTCAGGACCTTTATCCGAGACTGATTCTGGTCCCTCTGTGGCTTGGCCCTTGTGTGATGATGGGACTGTGGGGAAAATATCAGGCTCACCACTTGAAAAATGTTCTGGTGTTTCAGGGTAAGTCTCAGGCTTCCATGTCATTTCAAGCGATTCTGTGGTTTCTTTAAATTCACTTGGCTGCACAGCAATAGATGATTCCCTTTCAGACATGGGAAACTCAGGGGTGTCACTCTCACTGCTGTCTGAAAAATTCTGAGAAGGTGCAACACTTTCAAACTGGCCACGCCTGGCTTCTGCCGCCTCTGGGTCCTTGGGCACAGTGGTGACTAGGTGTTTCCCATTTATGTACTGCACTGATGGGGTGGTCGTGACGTCAGTAGCATTTGCACAGTCTTCGTCTTCCTCCTCGTCCTCCTCACTGTGGTATATATCTATGTCAATTAACTCAGGTAAAATGGCAGCAATTAGGTCGTGCTCTGAATCTGTTTCTTCACTACAAGGTTCATCTTCTTTAGATTCTGAATCTATTGGATGACCAATTACACTCAAATCACTCATTCGACCTGAAAAAAACAAAGAGTTTTCACAATACTTAAATAGAACAGTTGGCAGCGTATGACAGAAGAAACTGATAGCAAGGCTTGCAGATCACTCACACACAAGGGAGGATTCAAATCTTTTAACATTAAGTACAATCACCCTTCTATACATAATTATTGGTCTTCAGATTCGCTGTTTTACATTAACAATGGGAAAAAATAAATAATCCAACTTAAGATGATAGAAACAGGGTATAAAAATTCTTTAACACATTTAACAATGCAGCATTGTAAAATGAGACAAGAAAGCACATATATACATTGTAATTGTAATCGTGACATGCGGAAATTCATCTTTGTGTGAACTGGGGGAAAAAAAGAAAAATTTCACCAAATCATACAGAAAAAAGTAACTGATTATTGTCGTTCATATAAAGGGATGCACAGACACCCTTACTCAGTGAGGAAAAGAGAAGAAATTGCTTCTGGCCCCTTGTCATGATTTTTCCTAAAGAAGACCTTTTAGAAAATTAGAGGCAATATAGCCCTTTCACAGCGCAGTGACCACCCCTCTCAAAGCAAGGGAGGCTAAAGTTAGCTGCCACCTCCCAGACACAAGTGGGGGGGGGGGGGAGCCTGGGATGGGGCGCCGTGTACATGCGCACAGAGAGTTCCCAGAAGCTTAAGAGAGGAAAAGCCCTCCACACTTTTACACCTTTATCCTTCATGACATGACAGAGAATGGGTCTATGACAGTTCTTTTTAAAACATTTCCTCCAAAGGAAGTTTAAGGGTCCCATCTAAACATTTGAGCTAGCATATTTTAATAACAACTGTCCTTAGAATATTCCCTAGATCACAAATTGCCAGGGGGTACAAACTACCTGGTTGACTTTTCTGCCTCCAGCGAAGGTCCTTGTCTGGGCACCAGGAAGGAGGAAATTCTGGGGCCTCACTCTCATTAGAGTGGAACTCAGTTGTCCTGGGAAAGGGTCCTGTCCCTACAGCTGCTCTACTCCTAGCATCACAGCCACTTGCAAAGGTGCCCATGTGTGCATTGACCCATGAAGAAGACAGAGCAAAGCAAGGAGGATTGCACAGTCTCACTCCCAACCCTCAGAAATACTGTTGCAAATTATTTTCAGCCTCGCCCTGATCCATGCCACAAATGCTCAGGCTGAACCTGAGAAGCTTACAGGGAAAATAATGACGGAGCCACACCTGTTCCCATTGGTAAGGAGATCCTTGCTATTGTAAGACGCTGCTCCCTTCTACATATGGAAGACCAACATTTAGCATTTACTGACAGTCAGAAAAGAGGGGAGCAATGGAGGGGGGGGGGGAGAGGAACATTTGTAATAATCTGAACAATAAAGATTTATTTTAAAAAATAATATATAAATAAATAAATAATAAAACTAAAAAGAAAAGCCCAATCGAGAGGAAACCAATGTTGCTTACATCAACATAAACACAGACATATATGAACTATCAATAAAAATTCTACAAAGTTTCTTGTTTTTAACTATGATTTGTAAAAAAAAAAAAAAAAAAAAAATGCACAAGACCTTTATGTAGCTAAAAGACATCTACTATATTTACATTTATCCTTTTCACTCCAATAAAAACAAAAAAGAAAGCTTCTCTGTATCCCATCTTCACTGTATGATCTCCATAAAATACTATTGTGTAGGTTTGACTTATTCTTACCCCAATTACACATCCTTACTCATTAACTGTCACATATTACAGTTCATTTCTTATATCTCAATCCCATCCTATACCATACATCCAGCCTTTTAACTATATAAGTGATGGCTTATGGATATTCAAATAAATGAAAAAAGTATTTCATTGGAGAAGTGAAGTCAATGCATAAAGCTAGTGTATTATAAAAAGATAAATGGAATACAGATGATTTCTGGCATAGGTTTTGCAACTACTCTTACTGCCAAACAAGAAAATGACTAAATGCCTTACCTTTTTCCAAAAAGCATAATCTGAGTAAGATTGGTCAATACTGCGTCACTAATGATACAGTGATCTCATAGTGCCTCATATGTATATGTTTTAAAAGAGGACACAATAAAATTTTCAGGTAATAACACTTTAAATGACTTGTGGTAAAAGCTACCTTTTCACTATGAAAAACGAAATGCGAGGGAAACAGGCACACGTGTGAGAGAGAATACATTTTAAATGCCTTTTGTAGGAATTAATCTCTTGAAATATTACATCAATAATTTTATCTAATCATCAAATTATGTAGCCTCTCACTGCTAATACTATTTGAACATAGTTGAATTACACTATTTTGCACTTTATAGATTTAACTGGAGCCTCAAAAACATGCCTGTATTCATGTTTGTATCTTCAACCCTGTCTTCATGTTTATATCTTTATTTAGGTATAAATAAAGCTAAAATTCACACCACAGGCACTAAATTCACACAGTAACTTTCACTTGAATACAGAAAGAATTTTAAATAAGAAACATGTATCTGTGTCAAGAATACAAAGAATCCCCACCACATTCTGTACCTTTTTATCAATAAGGAGATAAAACTAACACTTTAAATGACCTGTGGTAAAGGCTACCTTTAATGACCTGTGGTAAAGGCGCCAGCCAAATGCAAGGATCAATAAAAAAAATAACTGTTCAATATTGTTTATTTGTAAATTCTTGGGCCAGGAATAGGAAAACGTATTGTTATTATAGAATTTGTATGGGTTTCTAAATAAATTCCTTACATTAAAAAATAATATTTAAGAAAACAAAACATATAAACATATACCATGAATGTCTTGGTGAATACCGTATTTTTCGGACCATAAGACGCACCAGTTTTTAGAGAAGGGAAATGAAGAAAAAAAGATTCTAAAACAAAAAGTTCAGTGTTACCACTACAATGTGTAAACCCATAAATCATGCAGAGACTTTCTATGCTTTCTTTGCATAGTTTATGGGTATCTACACATTGTAGTGGTGAGAGAAGAGGCTGGAGAGTGTTTTACATTATGGTAAATGTTATTGGTTTGGTATCACAGAAAGTCTCTGCATACAATATACCGGTATGAAGTTTGTTGCAGTACAAACATTTTGACAGTTACCGGTATAATAGTATGAAGAGAAATTCTGACTTAGCGGCGTTATCAATCAGGGCATCCAGCGGAGGGTGGAGTTTACTGGTGGGCGGAGATCTACAGTACGCCTACCCAGTAGTCAAGCACGGCAACAGAGGGCGGAGAGGAATGATTGGGGGAATAGACACGGTATTCTTCCGGGCACGGAGTACGGGCCAGCAAGGGGTACAGGCGATGATTACGTTTTGGATTACGCAGTTACCGTACACTGCACCTGGGCTGACATGGAGATATGGCTGCAGCGAGGGCATGGAGGCTGACTACCATACATGGGAACTCCTCTACCACTCGGGGTTTACAGAGCGGGGCAGACACTCTGGGCACGGAGGAATGGACAGTGGCTGCAGCAAGCACACAGAGCCGGGCAAGCACACAGAGACCACACAGAGCCAGGCAAGTAAAAATACTTTTTTTTTAAAGTATATGTGTAGGCTATATTTGGACCATAAGATGCAGGGACTTTTTCCCCCCACTTCTGGGGGGAAAAAAGTGCATCTTATGGTCCGAAAAATACGGTAATTATAGAGGAGGTTCCATCAACTATGATGTTGGTATCTCTAAAAATAAGTAGAGTGAAGAAAAGCAGAGAAAAAATACTAAGGTTATCAGGGTGTCAAATATTAACTTGTCAAAGAAACTGACACATTATGATGTTTGCTTAAATGTTCTACCAAAGAATCAATAACTTTTTTTTTAAAGGTGTTTTTCTAGAAGAACTCTAATTGATAATGAACAACTTATGTAATAATTTGATTGGCTATCAACTCTTATTAATTCATTTAAATAAAGACCCTAGCATTCACTTTACATTCTCTACTTTTAGCTCCAATGAACAAAGTATAACATTCCTTGAGTCCATTTTCCACTTGGATCATGAATTCTAACATTTCTGATTATTCATTAAACTATAAAGATTTCCCCTAGCACGTTAAGCCATCATATCAGAATATTTCACCAAAGACTCAATCGTTAGGTGTAGTATATTCCATTTCCTAATCTAAATAAACATCACAATATTTCAAACACAGTAATATAAACATTGCATATTCTTCATACACACTCAGCTTCATACTTGTTTTGCACACAGTTTTAATTCACTACCAAAACCATGCATGTCACCCAACTGTATTATCTCTTCAGGAGCCAACTGATTGCACAAAATTTACTGAGTACCTCTTATCTACCAGATGGTATAACAGACATTTGCCTACTAACTTTATAGAGACCTAAGACTTCCAAGGTATCTTCCAACTCTCTCTCGCCCTCTTGGAACAAATGCTATTGCCAATAGATTAGAGAAAGGACCTTACTAAACTCTTCTCAAGCTATTTTAAAAGGGAACGTTTGAGTGTACATATTGCAAATGCTCCAAACATTACATTTAAACTGTAATTTCTTTTTCCATCTGCCTCCAAAGTATCAGCTCTCACTTGCCTTTACAATAGTATAAAACACTGAATCATTTTAAGCTCTTTTATCTTATTCTTCTCACTCTACCACAAAGCTGGCAATGACTAAAGAACTATCAGCACATCATAATGGTGATTTAAGAGAAAAGATTTTTAAAAGTGTTCCATTTAGAAATTCTTAAATAAAAGAAATAAAATGAGAGCTGAAAATATTTTGTGTCCTTTTTCTTAAAGGAATATTCTCACAATTAAGCAACATTTTTGTCAACTTCCAAATGGTTCCATTGGATTTCTTAATATCGGTTTTAGGGTTCAGGAACTGTTGATTGCCTAGGGCTAATTAATTTTTTTCTGCCAAAAGATTCTCTACAGGTCAATTTATATTTTATTATCTCAGTATAGCCAATTTGTTCTCATACTTTTAAAAGTTTTTAAATTATGAAATCTTTCTAGTGGAGACAGGTGAATTCT